GAGAGTTTGATTTCACCCACACTGAGAATGCCAATTGACCAAACACCCTGAAAGGTGTTATAACTACCTCATCAAATCTCTAATTTCACACACACACCCTTTCAGCTCGGCCTCTGTGAAAGCTAGAGCATGCTGTCTTTCATAAATGGCAGCCAAATGGAAAAATAAGCATAATTTTTTACCTCGTCAGACTCCAGAGCCATAGACTCCACCCTCTCTGGGTTGTCCAGGAGCTCCTGCAGCTCTGATTGGCTGAGGTCCTGGAGCTTCTCCATCTGATTTGCCAGGATGGCTGTCCGTCATACAGGAACCAGGAAATAAGAGTTAAAACAATGTTTGGAAACAAAGTGGACAGTCAGAGGCCTAACCTTTGTATTTTACTGCTACTAATCTTGAGTAGATCGATTTAATCAGTATCCATCGACTTAACAGGCCATTGTTAACAAATCAGGACAAAACAAACCATGTCACCTACAGCCACTCCCTTAATAAAATAGCAACTGGTGGTATATGATGATGAAAATCGTGGCCATTTTTTGCCAACAGTAGTGATAGTGACATTTTGAATGCAGTATTTTAAACACAGTTGACTTAGCGTGTCAGCTAGCATTTTAAACTCATACTACAGTCACACTATCGAGGTAAGTAACGTTACTGCAGGCCACAAAACAGAACAAGCTGTTCAGACGAACACTGGTGACAGTGGAGCAACAAAACAGGTGAAAATAAGATGGTACTCACACGACGCTAGCAAACCAAATTCAGCCTGACACTGAGTGGTGGTGACATCCAACACCACCTATTTATTTCAACTGACAGGTGACGTGACACGTCCTCAGGATCTCCGACCAGCCCTGACGGAATCCAGCTGAATGAGAAGCCGCCGAGTCGTTTTCGACGCACTTTGACCGGCTAGCTAACTAGCTGCTCAACCAACGGCCAATCTCACCTGACGGCCCCGCGTTAAGCAATCTGATGACAACAACAGTCGGTATGATCGCAATGTCAGGCACTTAGCCACCATCAACTTCGAGGGAAGCCCAGCGATTTGGCGATCAAAAACGGAGCCCACAGTGACGCCGCTCGGTCCCGGCGATCGCTGTCAAACGTCTCTGTGTTCCGGTGATGCTTACTTCACTAAACAGACAACTGCAATCGACCAAATGTGTCGGAAAATAACCAAATCTTTGCTAATAATAGGAAAGTTTCACTCCACACTGACAGAAACCGCCGCCATTTTCGGAATCTTCCACTAACCGCTGTTTGCGGGGGTGTTCAGATAAAATTAAAAATTCCAAAACAGCAGCGGTGAGCTGTAACGAACTCCTGGTTTATTATGTTTTAAATGGTTATTGTTTGCCTACATATTTTGTGTAATTATTTCAACTAGGCCCGTTATCCGTGTGTTGTCCCCTAAATCCCAGGGCAATGGTGGGGTCCTGTGCTCAGCTGATATAAGGGAAACCCCTATGTGACGGTAATGTCCCGTCTACTGCTGCCAGTGCTTCTGTCAATGGCAAAATATCTGTCACCCTGTTCTGCTGGAGGAGCGACACATTACTGCTTTCTTTAGAAACGAAAACCACTGTGTCAATATTTGGGAAATGAAAGGATTTTATGTAAAGACAGAGAGTAGGCTTAGACAGAAAAGAGAAACACTGGTCTGTTGAGGCAGGTGTATCCATTAGCTTAGGTTGTCCATTGGAAGCTTAATTGATTCTAATTAGACCTACCTATACAAGTTTCGCAGAGATCCACTCAGCATAAAAGATTATACTTGCTGTTATTATTTATTTATTTATTTACAATTGGCAAAGTGCAGTTCTTAATAGTGAGTTCACATTTCCAAAACTCTTCACACAGTGTGCACAACAGCATTCAATGTGGACTCAACAGTGAATCACTTTTCATTGTTTCATGACCACATCTTTTACAGTCCAAGAACTGTTTTCTCACTCAAACTCAACCTCAACCAAAACTCTGTCTTTACACAAAGGCCCTTACTATGGAGTGATGACTGGGGGGGGACCTAATCTCTCAGAGGTGGATTGGGTGTTGGGGAAAACAATCAATCAATTATTTATTATAAGCAAGTACAGCTGTATAGTATACTTAAACAAATATGCAATAAATGAAAGCTACTACTTTCAACATACATTACACATGCAGCGCAGTAATAAATGACTTGAAACCTTACTCAGACTTCATGTGGACTAACAAATATAATGTAATAAATACATTAACATTAGTTGAATCCACTTGTGACTACCATTGTCCAGTATTTAATTTTATTTGCCATTTGCTCTGATACAACTGCACAAGGACATTGGGATTAGTTAGTTATTAGTGATGGTTGATTGATTAGCACTTACAAATGTCCCGTTTTAACCGAAAACGTACTATGTGCACATCCATGCAAATACTGACATTTTGTTTTAGGAAAATATTATTTATTTTCACAATTACAGTTCCAGTGCAAAATAACATATTAATGCTAGTGTTATCTTTTCTTTACTCTCCATTCCTCAACCCCCCTCATGAAGGTGGAAAGTTTATGACCACCGTCCACATGATCAATGTCCCTCTTGGACTCAATAAATGCTGGATATCTGGATGTATATGCAGAAGATTACCATGCATGGGTCAGGTATAGATTCTTTCCCAGGTTTATTAGAGAGGATATAAGGTGTGATGTGGATGAGAACTTCTAGCCAAATGCAGAAGACATGGTTGACCAGCACTGTTTTATTTCTATATCTATAGCCATCCTATACATGTATGTATGCATATTGAAAATATATCATTGTTGAGGGCATAGGTTTTATTTCTACACATTAAGCGGGGTGTCTGGGGGTCCTCCTCCAAGAAATTCTGAGCTTTAAACATTTAAGTTACTGGATTTGGAATTTTTACATATCAATCTTTACTGCATCAATTTATGGTGGAAATGTATCAGCTATCCTGCATATTAAAACATCTCTATTTGTATTGGCCTTCAGTCAGTCACACAAATACATTATTATCCTGCAGGAAATGTTGTTTGCAGCTAGGCATTAAACACATAAATAATAATATTAAAAAGATAATATAAGTGAAAATTACATTCAAAACAAAAGCAGCACCATCAAGCCAAAGATAGACCACTTTATGTGAGGGATTAAGACCCACACTTAATAGAGTGCCAAATAAAGAACAGTTCTTGGTAAGATAAAGATATAGTGCAAGTGTGCAAACCTCTGTATTACATTGAGATATTCAGCCTCTCAGTGGCTACAGGAATAAGAGGCTGGTGTTCTGTGTCTTTGCTCTGAACATCCTGTACATAGTGAGAAACTACAGCAGTAAGACCACTGCAGGACCGTCATGCATGCAGAAATGAAAGTGTCTGCATTTGTGTGACACACTGTATTTTTTCATTTTTTTGTTGTATGAAATATGAGGGCAATCATGTAAAAAGAGCAGGCCATGATTACAATTTTAGTGAATACATTTGAAGCTGCGATAACTGCATCAGTGTATTTGGAATTATAAACAGTTTGCAAATGATGCATCTGAAAAACTGATAAAGATGTTCTATTCGGACCAAGTGGATGTTGCTCTTTGGTTGGCTGCCCAGGCCCCGTCATGGAAACACGAAATTTTCACACATTCACAGTATGGAATAACACCATCAGTCTTATTTGATTAAGACATTTTTTTTTTTTTTTTTTGCATATACAGGGTGTAGACATAATTACACCTCAGTAACAACACTATGATGTAATCTATTACACACACATATACAACGCATATACAGCATTCAGCCCTGCAGTAATCTTTGTGAGGCTTTTATGTAAGGCTTTGTGTAAGGTGTTTGTTATTTTGTCCCCTAACACACATACAGAAGTCCAATCTATGAAGAGCATGTAACAGAAACATGCTGCTCACAAATGATCATTGACTATCACAGAAGTTCTTGTTAGTTCATCCAGTATATTTATTTTCTTTATATTTGATTTGTTATAAAATTTTAAAAACATGTAAAACATTACAAAACATTTAAAAACATCAATGTAATTATAAAACAAACAAATGTATGTACAGTATACAAAGCTGTGCATTTTCACATAAAACTGCAATTACATAAGGGAACTTCTTCTTCTGTCCCCAAACTGGGTTTTATTAGTATATCTGCTATGGGTAAAACAATATGCACATAGTTATAAAGAGTAAGGTTGCTGATAGATTCTTTGTGAATAGTTACAGTGATACACTTTTTTCATCTTGTCACATAGTCATATTTTCTGCCTTGAAAAGGTTCAGCAGTCACTTTGAGAGATGCACCTGATTATTTGCATACAGAGTGGGGAAGTGAGATTCGATCACAAGTGGTCACTTGAGACACACTCTGATGCCAGGTGTGAACAGACAGACTTGAGGCTCATTTATACTCCCTTTGTTTACAAAAATAAATACGGCTGTTTCAAACGTAAACATCACTGACTGCCCTTTTACCTCCACAGGTTGTTTATGAGGGCATGGATACAGCCAATAGATAGCGCTAGAGGGCAGAGTCAAAATTTTCACACAACAACAAATGGACGACAATGGAGAAGGTTGTAATATTGTATCTATTAATGGAGGCAGCGTTGTAGATGGCGCAGATCTCTGCTGCTTTTACATCCTGACATGTGGATGAAGAAAACCATTTCATATCAACCGCTAGGGCAGCAGGACAGGACAAGCAAAGCACCCCAGACGTCCCTCTCCCCAGCAACACTTTCCAGCTCCTCCTGGGGGACCCTGAGGCGTTCCCAGGCCAGATGAGATATGTAATCCCTCCAGCGTGTTCTGGGTCTGCCCCGGGGCCTCCTACCATTGGGACGTGCCCGGAACACCTCTAACAGGAGGCGCCCAGAAGGCATCCTGATCAGATGCCCGAACCACCTCAACTGACGCCTTTTGACGCGAAGGAGAAGCGGCTCTACTCTGAGCTCCCTCCGGTTGCCCGAGCTCCTTACCCTATCTCTAAGGCTGAGCCCAGCCACCCTTCTGGGGAAACTTGTTTTGGCTGCTTGTATCTGTGATCTCATTTGTTCGGTCATTACCCAAAGCTCATGACCATAGGTGAGAGCTGGGATGTCATGTATGTCGTCTGCTATGGTCATATCTTGCTTTAACTACGCTACACTGCCTCCATAATCTCCAATGGTACTGATCTGTTTCGTCCGTATCCGTAAGCCTTTAGAAAATGTGCACAAATATGGACAAAAAGAATGCAGAGCACGAACAGAAGGCTGTCCACCACCTCTATATCTAATGTTGAGCATAAACGAGCCTCTAAAACTGTCCACTAGTGATCGGATCACCCAGGACACGTCACTACCAGGTGCGAACAGACTCTGAGATGTCAGGAGACATTTTGGTTTAAATAGTCTGATCTGTATCATGAAACCTCATCAAGAGACACCAAACCACTAAAACAGAAATCTACACAATCGACACTTTTAAAATTTTGTGAGGGGAATTACATGAGTGGTTTTCAATTCTACTGCTAATATTGAGGATTTCAACATGTATGGCACACGTGTTTGTGTATCACTCTGTTTTGAGAGTTTTGAAAGCAGAGACAGACAGGATGGATTGCACGACCAGGGCTCCAAGACTGTAGAGCAGCAGCAGTATTTTCAGAGACTTGGAATAGGCCTGCAAGAGACAAAACAAATCCATATCATATATTTGCACACTATAAAGTAAGTCTTATGTCAGACATGTGATGGTGCTGCAACCTCATCTTTCCATCCTTCTACTGTATCTATGCACCCATTGATTTTTCCTTATCATCATTACCATTCCCCCATCTCATCTCATCTAACCATCATCTAACCTCCCCCATTCAGCCCATTCTCAAACCTATTAAATGTTTATGTCTCTTTTTTGTTGTCTTCACTTCAGAAAAGAAAAGTTAGCTGAAAGCAGCACACTGACCATCACAAATTCTTCAGGACACCCAGAAGATTGACCTCTGTAGTCATAGTAATGATAACTGGGCGTGGGTTTGGGCTCACAAATCGGTGTTCCGATAGTGCTGAGGCAGTAGCAGTAGAGGCAGAAAGAAAGCAGTGTCCCCAGCAGGCAAACTGCATTACTGTATGCACAACCTTGAAGCTGTGGAGGAGGACAGTCAAGTGCACGATGAAACACCAATACACCGATTACATTAGTGTAAACTTGAAAATGTAAAATTACCGTAAACACTTACAAAGTATTATTGTTATTATTATTACAATTTTTATTACATGTAAAATTAAAATAGTCAGTACACTCATGCCTTCAACCCAATCACCAGAAATAATGTTGGCATGTTTCTGCGAACCATTGATACGTTACATTCCTACCTTATTATGTCAAGGAAAAGTTGTGTACATGTAATTAAGTTTAAGTACAAAGTCCACTTGGTTATAATTAGGCTAGGTCACACTTTGGCTCAAAAGACCTGTTTTGGGGGCATAATCCTGGCAGGAAATGCACCAATGTCTCAGTAAAAAAAACAGCCGGTCTTTGTGCCACTATCCATGGTGCAAAAACAGTGACAGTCGCTTAAAAACACCTGTGTTTGCTGCCTAAAAAGCAGTTGGAAAAACAGTGACACATCTTTAAAAAACATCTGATTTTTAGCCTGCAGCTTGGCATCCGCCATCTACCATCCCCTCCACCTACTGATAACAAAGTGAGCGCATATATTACGTCAATTTAGAAACATTGATATGATACATATGACACGTGCAAATGTAACGTATTTGTGGTTTGCAGAAATGTACAATGTCAACATGTTAGTCTGGCGACTGGGCTGATGCGTTAGGCTGACTATGCCACATGATTGTAATATTATGAGTTTATATTCTTATATTATATAATGTAACACTTGAGACATGTTTGCTGACTGAATGGAAATACAGACGTTGGAGACAGAGAGATCAAAATCTCATTAATCTTTAGACTGGCTTGTTTGTGAACGTACCAGTAGTTTGTTGGAGTTCCTTTCATTGGCAAAGGTAATGGATCCTGCTGCTACGATCTGCAACAAACACACACGCGCGCGCACACACACACACACACACACACACACACAGTATTGGACTTTTTACTGAAAGTTGCTGTCATCAGTTTTAAGGACAGAGGTTTTTTTTTTTCCATATATTATTAAATCCATTTTAACACTAAAACATAGCATCCTTTCTATGCATGGAGTGATTTCATGCTTCAAGGTAGAGATGGAAAGATGTTTCACTTTGCAGATTTAAATAATTTCATTCGTACAAGATAGATAGTGGAACATGAGACAGATAGTCTGTGAAAAAAAAAACATGTTCCTCATAGTGCTTCTAATGGCATTTGCAAGAATCCACTGCTCATGAATTCAAACAACCAAAGAGTTGAGGAGTCTTGAGCACAGCTGTCGATCATATCAATTACTGCTCATGAACTGCGGTCAAACTGTCAAACTAGGCAGCAAAGATCAAATTGTTCTAAAACTGTTGTGTGGGTCTACTTAATGTAGCCTAACGATAAAGTTGTTAAAGACAGCTGCAGCGAGGAAACACAAAGCCATCCAAGCATTTTTAGCATTTTTATTATCTAATTAGGAAATCTGGATGGAAGCGACAAAATTCGACAAAACTTTCTCAGTGTCACTGAAAAGGTTACACACTCAATTGTGTTTTTCTTATAGATTATGCTGTAAATAGGTTTAAATAGGTTTACAACAAACGGAAACCTCCAGTACTGAAAAATGACACCAACCAGTTCTCTGAATGGCCACTTGAGGCTGGCTCCAAATATGAGTCAATCTGCATAGATCACCATGTTAAAATGCCCAACTTTACAGCAGAAATAAACATGTTTAAGGCCTGGTACAAAAATGGTTTTGGTCTCTGTAGCTTATTTCTTCGTACATAACTGTGCCGGGGTGAATTTATATAGAACTCACCAATGTCAATGTTATTAAAACTTAAAGTTATGCTTTTTAAGGGTGTGGCAACTCTAGGTGACAGGTGGGTACCATCCATGCCACCACAGTGACAACCCTGGTTAGTAGTGTAACCATGACGTAACCCCAGATTACCAGAGTATCGGCGTAGTCGTAGCTGTTGCTATTTCAGTGTGTTAGTTGTACATTTTGTTCACCTAAAAACAGTCTAAACTAACAGTCTTTTGTAATAAAAGACCCTCTATGGAGTGAGATGTTACATTTTTTCTGGTAAGTACATTTTGTCTTAATGGTTTTAAGCCTGTTTTTCACTACCAAGAATTAGCCTTAGTATTATCACAGGTAACCATAGATGTACTGCGCTAACCAAGCCAGCAGCTAGCATAAGAATTATCTCCCTCTAATCCAAATATGTTTATTTCTGGCTCCCAAAAACAGAGATGGCACGGGCCGAAATGTCAAACTTGAGGCTTCAAAATGGGAGTCCACAAACCAGTGGGTGAGGTCATGGTGGCTACGTCAGGTAGACAGTTTATTTGCCATAACCAAGCTGATGGAAACACACAATAGACCATGAATAATGGACACAGATACCATGATGTCACCCATTGGGTTGAAGACTGCCCTTTTGAAGCCTCAAGTTCGGCATTTCAGCCATCATCATCTTGTTTTTTTGGAGCCATCAGTGACCTTATTTGGACAGGAGGTGGGAGCTGTGGAGGAGCAATTTGCGTCATGAATGTTGAAATTAGCTATAGAGACCAAAACCATTTTTGTAAACATGTCTGTAAACATGTTTATTTCTGCTGTAAACTTGGACATTTTAACATGGGGGTCTATGGAGATTTACTCTGTTTTGGAGCCAGCCTCAAGTGGCCATTCAAGGAACTGCAGTTTTTGACACTGCTGCATTGGCTTTATTTTTGAGCCTTGGTGGTTCCCGCCCGAAACACACTTAATTCACATTTCATTAGATGCATTGGTTACACATCTCTAATATTAGCCAGATTTCTATCCAAATATAGCTGCAAAAATTCTGACCAAATTGACAGAAAATTAGTAAAAGAAGTTTACATCCACTACCACTGTGCGAATAGTGGGAGGTATGTGCCTCGAGACAACAGAGGGTGGAGCTATTTCTCCAGTCAGGTGCCATTAAACCATTGCAGAAGAGGGCACAATGGGATGACATAATGAAAATGGTGCCTTGAAACATCAAACAGTGTAAATACATGTTGGAAATATGGCACTTATGTTTATTTAAATCGTTGAAACAATTCTAACAATTATGCAAAATTTATATATATTTTTTTAAATGATTAGGCAATCATGTCGTAATTGTGACAAGCTTAGGTGAAGCTGCTGACACTACAGATATTCAGTATAAGAATTAGAGTAAGAATCATGAAGTACATACTAGAATTCCAAAGATGAGTGGCGCCACAAAGAGCTTTGGCAAAGTTTGCTCAACGTAAGCCAGCGGGACACATAACAGAATCTGGAACAGCCCCAACAAGATGGTCACCACCTACACAGACACAGAGATTTGGCTTTACACTCTACTGCATAACAATTCATGGGAAGTTAGACAATCCACTTCCGATAAAGTTAACTGTGTGGTGTCCTAAACTCACCGCAGCACTTTGAGTGTCAAACCAGGGGAAGAGACGATGTAACCTGGGTCCAGCTGCTGCCACTGCACCCTCAGAGGACATGTTACTGCAAAACAGGACACTGGAGTCAGATACACTCATCTGTTGTAAAGAGGTTTTTTCCCCACAAATCCACTTCTGTTATGAAGAAACCAAGCACACACCACCCTAGATTACAGTCACTGTTAACATACACACAATATTATGTTGCATTATATGTGCAATGTAAAATTTTACTGCATTACCACCAGCTGAGTGAACTCTGCTGGAATTAAATATTTACTCAAGTACTCTACTTTCTGACAAATTTGAGGTACTTGTACTAATTTTCTTGTAATGCCACTTTGTACTTCTACTCCACCACATGTTAGGGGGATAATGTTGCACTTTTTACTTTACTACCATTATCTGACGGCTTTAGTTACTAGTTGCTTTACAAATTCAGATTTGTACCCACAAAACATACAAACAGCTGTTGTCTTAATTGACCATTATTTAGACTGGAAATACAGAAGGAATGGAAAACATGGAATATATTCCACAGCTCCAGCTTCAGGAATGTGAAGATTTGGAATTATTTTCCAACCAACTAATCCATAGCAAGATAAAATAAAACTTTATTTATTCCAAGGGAAGGCAACTGTGCAACAATTGCAATACAAAGTGGGGTCCAAATACAAAAAGTGCAAATAAAGTTTCATTTATTTAACAATGGACAGTGCAAATGAATACATACACATGGTATAAAAATGCCAGAATTAGCCAAAAGGCTATTTTACACTCTGTAGTCCCTTGGCCAAGATGTTACACAAGGCTACCCAAAATACAACAAAGCACAAAAAAGCAAACCACAAGACAAAAAAGAGAGAAAAATCAAAAAGTTGAGAAGTGATCATGAAATTTGTGATTGAATGCTAAAACTTGAGGCAAAATCATACACAGACATACAATTTTTAAAAGCACTAGAGGCAGTAGTGACATATTTCACTATGGAACAACATTGCAACACCAGCAGGACATATTAGCTGCAGTAGAAACGAGTTTAGTGCTCATGTGTGTATGTATTAATCATCCATTGTTTTAATTGGTTTCTAAAAGATATATAAGTGTTTAGTTATCTGATACGAATCTGAATTATATTCCACTCCCTTGAACCTCTTACAGACCAGGCTGACTGACTAAAAGCACTTTTCCTCAGTGGAATCGTACAGTCTCCTCTTATTAAACCCCGAGTGACACGATTCATATTTGGTCTTCTGCTGATATAGGCTGCAAGTGGTGGTGGAGCTAAGCCATTGTAAAGTATACACAATATATATAGGGCGGCACGGTGGTGTGGTGGTTAGCACTGTCGCCTCACAGCAAGAGGGTTCCTGGTTCAATCCCAGGAGTGATTTTGTGCAGAGTTTGCATGTTCTCCCCGTATCATAGTGGGGTTTCTCCAGGTACTCCGGCTTCCTCCCACAGTCCGAAGACATGCAGGTTAATTGGTGACTCTAAATTGTCCGACGATCAGTGGTTACGAAAATAGATGGATGGACAATATATACAATTCCATAATCAGAATATATATATTATATATATTATATAATAGATATATATATATATATACAGTACAGGCCAAAAGTTTGGACACACCTTCTCATTCAATGACTCATTTTCATGACTATTTACATTGTAGATTCTCACTGAAGGCATCAAAACTATGAATGAACACATGTGGAGTTATGTACTTAACAAAAAAAGGTGAAATAACTGAAAACATGTTTTATATTCTAGTTTCTTCAAAATAGCCACCCTTTGCTCTGATTACTGCTTTGCACACTCTTGGCATTCTCTCCATGAGCTTCAAGAGGTAGTCACCTGAAATGGTTTCCACTTCACAGGTGTGCCTTATCAGGGTTAATTAGTGGAATTTCTTGCTTTATCA